CGACTGCTCACTTGCGCAGCGTGCGGGGATCTTCCTCCTCCTCCTCCTCCTCCTCGAGGTCCTCTTCCAGATCCTCCTCCTCCTCCTCGAGGTCCTCTTCCAGATCCTCCTCATCCTCCTCCACCTCCTCCTGGCGCCGGGCGCCCCCGCGAGCGGGCACCAGGCGCCTGCGCACCCCTCCAGCCCGGGGCGCCCACGAGGCGCTTTCGGCCGGGCGCTGGGCGGAGCCGCCGCACAGCCGCGGCCGCGCGCAGCGGGGGGCAATGGTCGGGACGATCGAGGCAAGTCAGAGCCCCGAATCATCAGGGGTAACTCGGGTCAGGGCTAACTCGGGTTCGTTTTTCGGGATTCCGAGCCCGAGTTACCCCGGACCCAACTCGCCCCGGATGATTCGGGCGTCCAGAGCTCCGAATCATCAGGGGTAATTCGGGTCAAGGCTAACTCGGGTTCGTTTTTCGGGATTCCGAGCCCGAGTTACCCCGGACCCGACTTACCCCGGATGATTCGGGCGTCCAGAGCCCCGAATCATCAGGGGTAACTCGGGTCAAGGCTAACTCGGGTTCGTTTTTCGGGATTCCGAGCCCGAGTTACCCCGGACCCGACTTACCCCGGATGATTCGGGCGTCCAGAGCCCCGAATCATCAGGGGTAACTCGGGTCAAGGCTAACTCGGGTTGGTTTTTCGGGAATCCAAACCCGAATCACCCAGGACCCGAGTTACCCCGGATAGTTCGGGCGCCCGAGCAAGAATGGAAAGCGATGCATCGTCGATGCATCAGCGATGTATCGGCGATGCATCGGCAACGTCGGCGACGCGTCGGCGACGCATCGGCGTGGCGAAAAGTGGGCCCCACATCGAGCCGCATCGCCGATGCATCGGCGGTGCGGCGCTCGGCGGCGCGGCGCAGGGGTGGGGGGCAGGGGTACGGAAAGAACGGGTGCAAAGACCAACAGCAGTTCCCATCTTTCCGTTCCCGTTTCGGGCGTCCAAAAGAGGGAAAAGGGTAGGGCCCGGAAGAAATGGGGGGATGGGGAAAGGGGTGGTTGCGAAGTTTGCTGCATGCAGCTGGTTTCGGCCCCACCGAGGGGCCCATTCCTCGATACACAGTCGCCTCCAGCGCCGGGAGGCGCCGGGAAAATCAGCTGCGTGAGCTGATTCTCACCCCCCCCCCTTCGCTATCCCCCCATTTCGCCCGACCCGAGAGGGCTCCTTTCGACGCCTCCGACTCGGTTCGGTTTGATTTCGATGGCTTCCGATTCCGGTTCGATGCTCAGCTTCGGCTTCCGATTCGGGCCCCGATGTCTCATTGGAGGCCCTCTGGCCTGCCGATTTCCGCCGATTGTACGTTTCCCGACTCGGCTGCCGATTTCCGCCGACCCGACTTATCGACCCGACTTAACGATCATTTCGAACGCCGATCCCACTTATCGATTCGAGTCTGGGCAGTTCCTGCAGGGGGTTGGGGAAGGCTTCTCAGACGCGCCCCCGCTTCTTAGAAGGCGCGGGCCTTACAAGTACAGACAAGGCCGGCGCCTTCCAAGAAGCAGCCTCTTGAGAATTGGGACAGGGAAAAACACAGACACGACGAACCCTCGATTCCCAAGAACATGTGGGAACCTATGGGAAGTGGGGGGGCAGACAGAAGCCCTAAACACATGTGAACATATGAGGGATATGTTTATCTGTGTGTATTTCTTTAATCGCTTCGCTCATTCCGCCGGCCCATACAGTCTCATGTCTGCCGTTTGCCCGAGGGCCTGGTCCAATGCGGCGCTTTGGGGGTTCCTGGGGCCGCTTGGGGGACTCCTGGGGCGCTCGGGGGGGCATTTGGGGAGCCTTCTGGGGCCGCTTGGGGGACTCTTGGGGGCCTCCTGAGGGCCTCGTGTGGGCCTCCTTGGGGAACTCCTGTGTATTTCTTTGTGTGCCCTGGAGCCCCTTCAGAGCAGCCTTTCCCCCTCCCCCCCTGCCCCCCGGTGTGCGAGCCGCCAGTGGGCCCCCCCCCAGAGGCGGGGGTGCCCACCGTGCGCCCGCGGGCGGGCACAGCCTGGAATGCTTGGCGAGGTCCTTTAAATCCTGGCATCGCAGGGCACGGTGTCGGGGGAGCGTAAGACCCGCGGTTGTTGCTCCTCCTCCTCCTCCTCCTCCTCCTCCTCCTCCTCCTCCTCCTCCTCCTCCTCCTCCTCCTCCCCCTCCCGATTGCGTCTCGCTCCTGCTGGTTTTCAGACCTGAGCTCCCTGCGAGGGTCTCTTGTGGCCGCGACCGCGCTGTAGGTGACGAGGGCGGCGGTGGTACCCACGTCGGGGGAGCGTAAGACCCGGGTTTGCCAGGACTCGGGTTCGCCATCGTTTTTTTTGACGACCGCGCCTCGGATTTTGACGAGGAGGAGCTTCGTGGGATGTCTACAGCGGGAGGCCTCGTCAAAATGCAGGCTTGGCCTCGTCATTTTTTTGACGACCTCGTCGGGGATTTCCGAGTCCCCTGTACCCGGGTTTTACGCCCCCCTGAACGGGGGAGGAGGAGGAGAAGTGAGGGACCGTAGGCAGTCCGAGGCAGCGCCCTTCCCCTCGAGGTCCCACGCCTCACAGGGGCCGTGACTTTGGGGGGGTTCTTACTGCCCCGTCGCGTCCAGTCGGCTGGGGGGCACCGCGTATCTCGTTTAAGATACGGCAGCGACGAAGCAAGTACATCATTCAAGTAAGCATGCTTCTCCGATGTCTCGATCACAAGCAAAAATCCTGGCATCGCTCGGACGTGTGCACTTTTTCTCGGCGAGGACCATCGAGGACGATCCTTGATCATCTGGCGAAACAGCCACGCACGAAACCGGAAACAAACACACGGGGAACGGACGTCCGAGCGATGGCGAGGTGGCGAGCTCTTCAATAGACAGCTAAGAGCCCCTGAGTGCAAGCACTGGTGGGGAGCAGATCAAGGGTCATCAATGATGTGTGCCCCTTCGGGCCCTCCTGGAGGTCCTCCTGGTGCCCTCTTGTGGCGTCTTGGGAGCCCCTTGGGCCGCCTCACGCCGCCCTGGTTCCATCTTGAAGTATCTTGGGACATCTCAGGGCCATCTTGGGGCGTGTCTGGACCATCTTGGAAGCGATCTTGGAGGCTTGTGGACGTCTTGGAGGCAACATGTCTGGGTGCGAAGGTTCCTGCAGGCGGTTTGAGGGGCTACTGAGGGTGCACGCCAGGGAGGGCCAGAGATTGTTTGGTTGGGAACTTGTTGGAAGAGCAGGAATTGTTTCCCAGTCCTGACCACCCTTTGCCTCCATCTTCCAGGCAGGCTGTGGTGGTGGTGCGTGTCCTTCTCCCTAATGTTGGAATCCTTGCATGTCTTCGCAGTCCGTCGCATATGCTAGCGCCTGGCTGTCGATGAGAGAGCTCGGATTTGGCGTCGACCAGCGTCGATTCAGCTTCGATTTAGCTTCGAGTCTGAATCAACTCGCGTCGAATAGCCTCGATCACGTTCGATTCGCAAGGGCGGGCAAGCTGGCATGGGGGAGGCTTCAATGCGTCGTCACCGCTCAGCCCCGCCGCTTCACCACCCCAGTTGGGGGTGGGCATTTTGAAACCCCAAAGGAAAAGCTGACATCCCCCATCCAGGGGTGTACATCGGCCAATGTGTCCCAGGCCGCGCCAGTGGGGATGAGGATCGGCTAGACGATGCTTAAGCTAGCGGGGTGGGAAGATTTGAGTTTTTCTGACGTTTTCGTCCGTTCTCGTGGGTTTTCAAGCCTCGGGCTGCCCTCTTGGGCTGTCTCGTGGCTGTCTTGGATGCCTCTTGGGCCATCGTGGGGTGTTTTTTGTGCCGTGCTGCAGCCCGAAAAAGCGAGAATGCAACTCCCATTCAAAAACCATGGGGATTCATTGATTGCGGTTTTTTCGGGCCATGCTGGAGGTCCTTTTGCGATCATGGCGCAAGATTCGGCCGCCTCGGTGCCATTTGGGGCCTTCTTCGAGGCTTCTTGGGCCATCTTGGTGTCCTTGGTTGCCTGCACGGACCGCCTTCGAAGCTCGGGACGCATGTCAATTCTTAAACGAGGAAGCGTGGCTTGGGAGGGCTTGGAGCGATTGGGAGCAGCGCCGTGGAATGCGGGAAGTGCACGGTCCTCGAGCGGTTGCGCGTGATATGGGGGGTTTGGGAAGTAGCAGCCGTGCGGGAAGCTCGCAATCCTCGAGCGGGCGCGCATGGAATGAGGGTTCGGTCATTAGCTGCCATGCAGGACGTGCCCATCTTTGACCGGGCACGCGTGCAAGGGGGTTCTGGGCAATAGTTGCAACGCGGGAAGTGCACCATCCTCGAGCGGGCACGCGTGGAAGGGGAGTTTAGGCATTAGCTGCCACGTGGGAAGTGTACCAGTCTCGAGCGGGCACGCGTGTAAGGAGGGGGCGGAGACATTAGCTGCCATGCTGGAGTTGCACCACCCTCGAGCGGGCACGAGGGAAAGGGCTTCGGTGAGTAGGGGGGAATGCCTGCGTGAGTCTGTGAGTAGAGGGGTAGGTGGTTCCTCGTTAGATTAGAGAGATCGGATCAGACAGGCAGTGGCATGCTTCCATACTCACTCTCATGCCTCAGCGCGACAGAGGGGCACGGTGAAGGAAAACACACTCTATCGGGGGGTCGGCAGCCATTCATGGTCCGGCTTACGTTTGGGCTCAGGTCCAGGCCCGGCCAACGTTCTTTTCGATTTCCGAACACACGCGCTTAAGTGGCATTATTCGGGTAGGGATGCCCATGAGGGTTCCATGTTCTGCGTTTCTGGTCGTGATGTGCGCCGAGAGTTTGCCCGCCGCCACTGCCCTCACGGTACAGGCCGATCGACAGAATGACCCGACGTATTCGTTGAATTTTGTACCCTTCTTTCCCTCTCAGGTCCGGTTGTGCTGGAGCGTGGGGAACTGAGCGCAAGATCATCATTGGCTCCATCCCGGAGCTTTGCTTTGACGCAGCTATTGACGACACCGATTGTGGGGACACGTTTTGTTGTGGGTATTCGATGAGCCATGGTGCGAGATTATGTCGGTGTGTCATGGTCGGTCAAACATGCGATGGCGACATGGACGACGGCAATTGGGCGACAACTGTTTACAATATCGGCGACCTGGCAACGTCTACCACTACGACAGAGGACCCGAGACAATCTGCCATTGGCGATCCACTTTGCAAAGTATGTAATTACGGCCAGCGGTTCGATTTGATGAGGCAGGGCGACTTCGTTCTAATCAGCATTCCGCGTGGAGAGCCTTTCGAGAACGCGTTGCTTGTTGTAGAGGCTGTTGCGCGTTCATTGGGTGGACGACGTGCCGACATGTACTTCGTAAAGTTGAACATCACAGGTGCTTGGGCGGACAATGCTCAGGCTGGCGGCCTCAGCTTCAGCGCGAACAGTGCACCCGAGGATAAGCCGAAGTGGGCGAAGTTCGGGCCGGTGGAGCTCAAAGTCGCCCACGGACGCACCGACAAATGAGCCCAATACTTGGGCGTGCTGGGTTTGATGTCGGAGGATTGCCAGGGACAAACGATCAAACGGAGGTAGCGATGCCTTCAGAGCGTTGCCAGAGGTCAGACTCCCTCCCTTGAGGAAAGCAGGAAGCCCAAGGTGCCGAATGGCTTTAGCGCGTCGGTTGCCGAGGCAATTGTTGCGTGAACGCGCGTGCCCAGCACACGCTTCGCTCCATGCAGATAAAATAATTACCGCGTTCGTGTCAGAGCATGCAGAGCACAATTTCTTGATAATACATTCCCCCTTTTGAGCTTCCGATGGCCGCTCGGCCCTCCCTGCCGCTGGTGGGGCTTTCCGACGAGCCGCGCTGCCTGACAGTCCGCGGACGGAAGAAGATACTCTCGGAAGTTTCGAGTGCTTTCGGAGTTCTGGTTTTAGATTGCATCAGCGTGTGTTAGAGTCTGGTGATCGATGAGTGAGCGCCGATTTCGCGTCGACTTGCGTCGATTTTGCATCGGTCAGCGTCGACTTCCAGCGTCGACTAGCGTCGGCGAGTGTCGGTTCGCAAGAGCCAGCAAGATGGCATGAAAGGCGTCCACGAGTTGCCACGGAAAAGTGGGGACGACTGGAAGACCTCCCACACGTCGTCTCCCGAAGGGGGCCCGGGCGCGGGATCGCTCGCTACCGCCGACGATCTCTCCATTCCCCCGGGTCCCCCCAAGACAAGGCAGGCCGTTCAGGAACGAGGGGGGGCAGGGGCAGAGCAGTTGTTGGTTGATTCACTCTAGGCCTCCCAGATGGGTTCGGAGGATCGCGCCTCATCGTCGATGCATCGGAAATGCGGCTCGATGTGGAGCCCGATCTTCTCCATGCGGGCGTCGCCGCCGCATCGCCGATGTCGCCGATGCACCGGCGATGTGGCGAGATCCGCCGACCCCGTTTTCTCCGACCCCATCTAGGAGGTCTCTGTAAACCTCTCGCGGTCAAGCCGTCTTCCACAAGAGCCAGATCATCTACAACATTGCATGCTGATCGTTGAGGGCTCTACGGGCACTCTGCGATGCACGTTGGCGGATGTTGGCGGACGTTCTCGCGGTGTGTGTGTGTGTGTGTTTGTGTTGGTTTGTTTGTGTGTGGGGGGGGCTTGAAGGGCATTCAGCGATGCACGTTGGTGGATGTTGGCGTGCGTTGACACAGCATTCTGCTCAGTGTTTGCGGCATGTTGGCGGATGCTCTCGTCGGTTTGCGTTTTGGGTTCATGCACCCTCAAACATAGCTTTCGTAGACCTTGACCATGTCTGGAGAGCGCATTTTGCAACCACTCAGTATTCGACCATTTCCCGTCGCCTCTTCTCAGAGCCGATATAATGCCAGCCTTTATGTCATGTCACCGGGTGGCAGGATGGCTGGAATCATACAGGTCGAGGCAAAGGCAAGAAGTGGTGGTTGCACTTCAGCGCTGCTGGGGCAACCGCATGCCTGCTGATATACATTGCGATCGTCCTCGCATTGAAGGAGGACCCCTGGGCCCAAAAGAGTGGCATATTCGGCGAACTGTATTTGTAGTGATGAATCAGCGCTGCCTCACACCGATGCTGCTTGCATCGTGTTTCGTTGCGCTAGTTCTGGTCGAAATTCTAGACGCTTCGCGTAACTCTACCAGCCCATCCAGAAACGATGCCCAGAGGAAGTGCCTCGATCAGGGAAGTGGGCAGCACACAGAGGAAGGATCCCCCAGTGGATGCCTCTTGGAGCGTCTTGGGGGCCTCTTGGCGGTTCCGGGCGCCTCTTAGAGCGTCTCGGGTGCCTCGGAGGGCCTCTTGGGGCCTCTTGGGGTCGGAAGCCAGCTTGGTCGGCGCTTTGATTGCTGAAGCCTCGGATGGCCATCGGAAGCGAAAAGGCGAGAAAGCCCAAAACATTGATTGTCCTAAGGTTTTAGAAGGATGTTGGCCTGTTCGGGGCCTCCTGGGGGAGCTCTTTGGCCACTTGGAGCTGTCTTGAAGCGGTCTTGGGGCCTCTTGGAGCATCGTGGGAGCCATCTTGAGGCATCTTGGGATATCTTGAGCCATCTTGGAGGTCATCTTGGGCTCCCCCAGGCGCTCTTGGAGTCATCTGAAGCAGTGCCCCCCCCCGCCCCCCAAGAAGGCCCAAATGTTGCCAAAACCTTAGTAAAATCAATGATTTTGGCAGTCTCGCCGAGGCCTCTTGGAGCGTCTTGGTTGCCTCTGGGGGGGCCTCTTGGGGCCTCTTGGGGGCCTCTTGGGAGCCTCTTGGGAGCATCCTGGGGGCCTCTTGGGGGCTTCGTGGGGCCACGTGGGGCCATCTTGGGGCCATCTCGGGGCCTCTTGGGGCCTCCTGGGCGCCTCTTGGGGCCATCTTGGAGGAGATCGATCACAGGAGGGGGTGGACTCAATTAGCCTCCCCCCTGGAGGCCAGCATGGGGCCGAAACCATAGTAAACCCAATGATCTTGGCTTCCTCGCCGAGGCCGTTTTGGACGCTCCAACGCGTCCGAGAACCCCCGTCGAGGTCCAGGGGAGGGGGAAGTCCCACCCGCCCTCCAAACACATACGTAGCACCGGAGCCTGGCCCGAGCCTCAGCATATTCAGCAGTCGTCTTTGGATGGGCAGCTACTGGAGGCGAATCAGCCGCCGCCGCCGCCGCCTCCGCCGCCGCCGCAGCCCGCCGCCGCCGCCGCCGCCGCCGCCGCCGCTGTCCGCCGCCGCCGCCGCGTCGCCCGCCGCCGCCGCCGCCGCCGCCGCCCCCGCTGCCGCCACCGCCGCCGGCGCAGCCGCTGCCGCCGCCACCGCTGCCGCCACCGCCGCCGCCACCGCCGCCGCCGCCGCCGCCGCCCCCGCCGCCGCCACCGCCGCCGCCACCGCCGCCACCGCCGCAGCCGTTGCCGCCTCCGCCGCCGCCGCCGCAGCCGCCGCCGCCGCCGCCGCCAAGTGTACTCTGTATTGTTTTGTTGTCAGGGATGGTAGGGGGAGGCCGCATCAGGTGAGCTGCGCATGCACCGAATTTGGAGGCAGAGTGTGTTTTGTATTGTTTTACTGAGGGATGGTGGGGGGGTGCCCGCATTGTCCCTGGTTGGCTCCTAGTCGCATGTGGGAGGGGGTGTATAGTAATAGGGAACAGTGGTAAACCCCTCCCCGAAGGGGAAGAAAGAGGGGTAAAAGAGGAAGCACTCTAGACCACCTACGCCCAAAGGGCTTGTGGGATTGCGTGCGAGCATTTGGCGAGACTTGTGTTTATGTTTGCATTGCTTGTGAGAGATTACAGTTGAATGATGCCCCGTATTGTCGCGTGTGACGAGTTCCGTGCCCAATATCGTAAGCAATGGGTATTTGACCTGATTCATACATCTTAGGTGCGAGGATACTGACATGCGTGATACCCATCAGCCTCACTCCTCCCGCTTCCTCCCTTCCACCCCAAAGTCACTCACACCCAGACTCACACTCAGAGTTAGGCATGCTCCGACTCACCCAAAGTCAGACAACCTTGATATCAGACCCATTCTGGCCAGGCGCACCCATAACCAGACCCATTCGCACTCAGACTCACGCACCCAGCCGTGCTCATACTCGGACTCACGGTCTGTATACACAACCGCACACATTGATTATCATACAGTGCCGTTTTTAATACATGTTCCGCGTGCCGATCATGTATCAAAAAATGCAGGGGCTTAGTTCTAAAAACGACGATGAGTTCATGCATACATCTATTCCTAATTTAGCCATGCATTTAAAATCCTATATTGTTCAAAGTCCTATGTATTGAAAACTGCCCTGTTCAGGAGGGAAATGAACACACAGGCACAATCCATCGTCGATTCCCTCGAGAATATGGGAACATATGGGAAGTAGGGGAAAACAAACAACTATGAAAATACGGGAAACTGTTGGGAATCTTGTTTATGTGTGTGTATTTACTTATGTGTCCCAGGGCCCCTTCACCTGTATGCGTTCCTATCCACGCGACAGCGCGAAGATCCGTTCACAGTCAGACCCGCTCTGTGCGCGTGGCGCGTGCGCCACCCAAGGGGGGGTGAGGAGAATGAGGAGGAGGAGGAGGAGGAGGAGGAGGAGGAGGATTTACTTATGTGTCCCAGGGCCCCTTCACCTGTATGCGTTCCTATCCACGCGACAGCGCGAAGATCCGTTCACAGTCAGACCCGCTCTGTGCGCGTGGCGCGTGCGCCACCCAAGGGGGGGTGAGGAGAATGAGGAGGAGGAGGAGGAGGAGGAGGAGGAGGAGGAGGAGGAGGACGATGAGGAGGAGGAGAGGACCGAGGAGAGGAGGAGGAGGAGGAGGAGGTGAGGAGAAGGATGAGAAGAGGAGGAGGATGAGGAGGAGGGGGAGGAGGAGAGGAGGAGGAAGAGGAGGAGGAGGGGAGGAGGAGAGGAGAGGAGGAGGAGTAAAGGGAGGAGGAGGACGTGGGGGGGGAGGAGAGGAGAGGAGGAGGAGGAGGAGAGGAGGAGAGGAGAGAGGAGGAGGGGGGGAGGCGTAGGAGGGAGGGAGGAGGAGGAGGAGAGGAGGACGAGGAGAGGAAGAGGAGGAGGAGGAGCAGGAGGAGGAGAGGTGGGGGAGGAAGAGAGAGAGAAGGAGGTGGGGGAGGAGGAGGATTGGAGAGGAGGAGGAGTTGGAGGAGGAGGGGAGGAGGAGGAGGAGGAGGAGTAGGAGAGGAGGAGGAAGAGTGGAGGAGGAGGAGGTGGAGGTTGAGGAGAGGAGGAGGAGGAGGAGGAGGAGGAGGAGAGGAGGAGAGGAGGGGAGGAGGGAAGGAGAAGAGAGGAGGAGAGGAGGTGGGTGAGGAAAGAAGGAGGAGAGGAGGGCGAGGCGGAGGAGGATGAGGAGGAGAGAGGAGGTGGAGGAGGGAGCGGCCGTAGGAGGAGGCGGAGGAGGAGGAGAGGAGGAGGTGGAGGTGAGGTGGATTGAGGAGAGGAGGAGAGAGAGGAGGAGGAGGAGGCGGAGGAGGAGGCGGAGGAGGAGGAGGAGGAGGAGGAGGAGGAGGAGGACGGAGGAGGAGGAAGGGAGGAGTGAGGAGAGAGGAGGAGGAGGAGGAGAGGAGGAGAGGAGGAGGAGGAGAGGAGGAGGAGGAGGAGGAAGAGGGGGGGGGTCGGCCATGCGCGTCAGGCGCGTTGCCACGGGCCCACTCCCCGCGCTCGGAACTGGCGGCGGGCCCCTCGGCGCGTGGTGCACGCCGCCTTCTTTTCGCTCCTTCCGCGCTCCCCCTCCTCTCCTCCTCCTCCCTTCCTCCTCCTCCTCCTCCCTCCTCTCTCCGCCTTCCTCCCTCCTCCCTCCTCCCTCCTCTTGGCATCGCTCGGACGTGTGTATTTGTCCCCGGCGAGAACCATCGAGGACCATCCTGGACCAACGAGCACAGACACAAACACGCGCGAAACCGAGAATTGGGGAAACGGACGTCCGAGCGACGGCAAGTCCTTTTTCCCAGACGGTCTGATCATCGCGATGTCGCAGGCATGTTATTGGTCAACTACATACCTGATTTACCTCAAATTGTGTTACTTGCTCGTCGAACCGACGAAGCAAAAAAGGGTAAGAGGTTTCCGCAGATCTGCGATCATTCCACGTGCTTCTTGGGGGAATTGGATGAGAGAACCAATTCTGGGGTGAATTGATGTTGTAGTCGATCACCTACTCGAATTGGGGCCGTGCAGTCTGGAGCCGACGGCCAGATTGTGAGAACGTCCAGGGCGAAGCGTCCGTTCGCGGTTCTGGGCGCTTCACATCTCAGAGGCTCATGATCACCGCGATGTAGCAGGGATGACATGTCGTTCACGCAGCCGGCCAGGTGGGTTAACGGAAACGTTCGCGGCCAGATTGTCGGGGTATCTCGAGCGAACCGCCCGTTCGCGGTTTGGGTTGTTTTTTGTTCAGGGGCCGATGATCAACGTGTAGCATTGTAGCATGCATGTCATTTGGGCTACCCCTGCGGGAGCCGACCAGGGGTGTCCACCGTGCTTTTTGCGGCCAGAATGTGGCTCTGGACGCGTCCTTTGTCAAGTGCCTGTGATAACTGCGATTTAGCAGTTTGGGGGCGTATGGCACCGTCTCGGGAGGAGTAGTGGAGTCCTAACAGGGGACCTCTGGGGGCCTCATGGGCCGTCTCGCACGATCTTTGGGTCTTCTGGGGCCTTCGAAGGCCTGCAGAGGCCCGAGGAGGCGAGACAGCTGGAATCCGTAGCCATTTGGGCTCAAGGCCTCTGCAGGTGCGCGCTCCGCCCCCCCCCGCCGCGCGGCAGAACGCCCGATGGCGCTCTCCGCCCGGGACTCGGCGGCCCTGGCGCTCGTCCCGGCGGCGGCCCGGGCGGCGCCCCCCGAGGGCTGCGCCGCGGCGGCCTAGGAGCGCGACGGGGTGGGGCTGCTGCAGGCGGCGGGCCGCAGCGCGCACTTGCGGAGCCGCTCCGATACGCCGAGAGACGCATGTCCGAGGGGGAGAAGGAGGGGAAGGAGGAGGAGAAGGAGGAGGAGGAGGAGGACAAGAAGGAAGAGAAGGAGGA